AAATATAAATGATGTTTATAACATTAGGGAACTACATATATCTTGTAACATATCTCTTCTGAAATTGGCCCCACGTACCCAAAGGCAAACGCTAGAAGACTAGTGAAAAAGGGAGACAACCAACAGGTAAAAACCTGAGGAATACAGATGAAAGTTTGGAAATTTGCAATTCCAAAATCTAATTTTTGTAGCCCACTCTTATGGGAAGAATTTTATTATTAACGAAGCGAGTCTCTGGCTGAAAGTTTTATCTAACGCGTTAGATAACGTTGTTTGAATTCTGTTGTATGTCACTTGTCCGAAAATTCGCTGCTTCCTTATATTTTGATGTGATCGAACACGGACATAAGACTTCAACCAAAGCGATTGCTATAAACTGCATTGAAACAGCAGATATTCAAGCAGGATTTATATCTACACAAATAAAAAACAATCATACACAAACACTAGTTGCGGAGTTGCATATGTGAAATTCTTGCATTTATTTGATTGACGGTCGATCGATCGATTGATTGATCGATTGATTGATTAACGAGTTGTGATGGGATACATCTGACATTATTGTTACACGCGAGTCGGTGACAGTAATATCGGGAAGGGAGTAGATGTCCAAGGACTGATGTTTATAGTTCCGAATAAGATGTATTGACATACGGTTGCGCGGGAGCTCTGATCACGAATGATTTGTCAGCCGAAGCCGTACGCGGCAAGGACGAGGGAGTTACGGAAGTCGTAAATTAAAATTGCCAGTGCTGTAAGTATGATGGACAATCTTGGCAGCATGGAACTGGTCATTAGAGGTTAACTTAAAGTCACTACAGATAGCTATACTCGTGAACAGAGAGGGTCCAATGTATATATATATATACATATATATAAATCTACTACACATTCCTGAAAACGTTATCAGAGAAAGTCAATAGTACTTAAGTATCCACAAAAATGAGAAGATATCGTAATATTATTACGTTTTAAACATATCACAAACTAGGTTATGATATTTTTATGAAAATTATTGAAAATATGAGATAAAATCTTACCTGTGTTAGAATAAGGCGTAGATGAGCGTATTTATAATGAACAAGCAGTTGTCATCTCTACAGCCACAAGTATATATATATATATATATATAGGCCAATATAACATGTGTCTGCACTTATACACTATCGATACTATATCTACATACACATATATGTTATCAGCTGTTACAAGTATACCTGTATCAACGATTGTTATGGACTTCGCATTTTTTTTACAATCCCAGGCCTTGGTTACACTTCCGGACGAAATTACTAGGTGTTTTGTCCGTAGAGAAAAAAGTACAACATTATACTTGCGCTATTGTTTCGATCTGGCCCGCATGTACCCGTTTCACTGTAGCCTTTGTGACATTGATACCCGTCATCTCAAGTTATAAATGTGTCTTGTAAAGACCGTACAATTTCTCTATTGTAAAGATTGTGTTATAGAGTACCCAGGGTGAATTTGTGATTTATAGAATAAACTTTGCTTATGGAATTCCTTATCGATACAAAAACACAGATTCACAAAGAAAGCATCCATCTTCTGGACAAATGTGTCTATGGGCGACCAAAAGACATTTGTCAGGTTGGTAATCACCAAAAACTTCACAAGGCGATCAAGAAAATAAGAACGCAACGTTTTTAGTATCTTGTTATATACCTGTCTTTAAGGAACGTTTCCAGATAAAATTAATAGTCTGTAATAATATTCATGAACTAAACCAAAGACAAAAGCTGTGTATATCTATATACATTGAAACAAAAATATTGCTCAAACTTCTACACTAGCATAAAACAAAAGTTAATATTTACCTGTTCAGGTGTGATGATCTTGTAATCGTGTACAGGTAACTATCGATGAAACTTAGACATCTTCCTTCAAATAAAGTTAAATGTCGTGTACATAACGAGACGTTGAAAGCGTTAATCTCTATATAACATGTACTTTTCTGTTCTATACATGATCGGCAAACTGTGCCAGTGTCACAATGGCCTACACTATTGCTAGGGTATATACCCGACAAAGTTCAATGTAGCGCTTCGTATACTCTCAATTTTTACAATTGAACAAAATCAACATTATTTAACTTTAGTGGAGCATATAGAAAATGCTTACCTGGGAGAGTACATTTGTATACTACACTAGCGTACCTGTACGCCCTGGGGGTACAAAAGTAAGCGACACCTTCCGGACAGGTAATCGTTACCAAATACTATGTAGGTCTATGTAATACTATAATATTCTACTTCGTCATTCTGAATCTCCTTATAAAGAAACATTTTATATAGAAGATAACAAGGCTTATGAAACATGAGAAATCATGGTGAAGAAGGTTTGCTTTGTTGCCTGATCACAACGAAAAATTGAAATAGACTTATGCATGTATGTAAACACCAACCAAATTCAGTTAACGTATCAGGTTTTATTTTAACAGCACATGATGATGCTCATTGTGTCACATAGTCCCCGATACGTTCCAATGTTTTCTTCTGATAAGACAGAATTATTTTCACTATTAGCGTTTTAATAGTGCTTGACGAAAATAGTATATTTTGAAATATGATGTCCTGTCAAAATCGAGAAGCTTCTGGCTATGAAGTGATAGATATCTCAATTCCTTGATGTATACTTACATATGTTAAACGAAATTTCCGAGTCCATATTTGAAACCAGGTAATAAGAGGTCCATTGGGCCTGTTCACTCAGCTGTTCTGCTATCACTTTTAAAGGGACACTATGGAAAAGCTTTCATCTGGCAATTTTCACGTTTATATCAAACTTATTATCACTTCTTTTTTATGTCTTTTTATTTTTTCAAGCATGTTTTTTCAATTAAGTCATAAGGTCCTGAAACACACTCTCTAGTACTTTGCGGTGAAATAAATTACATGTAAATTTGTATATGATTCTCTTAAATGTTCAAATGTCATATGAAGATTTCGAAATCTTTTACTACTGTGACCTTGAAAGTGAGTTAGACCATCCATGTCCATTTACTCCTAGCTTTCTACTATATATATAAATACACAGGGCATTTTATTTACTCATACGAAGTCATTTGAATATTCTATCACGTTTCATGCTTTTGACCTTGAAAGGAAGTCAAGGTCATTGATTTGAAGAAAATTATAAATCATTTGCCCAGCGCGTTACAGACACAATATCTATGCTTCTCGGTTATAAGAAATGATATCAGATGTACGAGAGGCCGCATCACCACACGAGCTCATCTGTATAAAGTGAGCTACACTGAATCCGAGATTTGTAATTAAAATACTCACATATTTAGCGTGAATCAGACAGGTTTTGAGGTATGTAAAGTGTAGGATAATAGTAATCAGAGATAAATTTAATTGTAGTACATGTGCATTAATAATTCCGAATCATCGTGGGATTTTGAGTATATGAACAAAATTGTACACGAATAAACAACATGTGTCTACGAAACACTATGCCTCCAGTTGAAACAAAATGCTGATGTGAGACATTAAAACTGTGCTGTGTAAGGCATGTGCTAATAGCATGCACACTTTGTGAAACACTTATGTCTTCATTGTGGTAATGATTTTATTTTTTACTTTCAAACGTAGGTCATAGTAAGGTCACATGGTCAAAATTTTGTTACCACCAGAAAGGTCTTGTCACCGGTATCACACATGCCAAATAGGAAAGCCATACCTCTTATGGTGCAATGGTTAGGTCAAAGGTCACGGTCAAGGTCACATGGTGACACCATTGTATTGGAAATCTGGCTATATTACATTCTCATGAATTGTCAACACACGGGACAGCAGCGGTAAAAACTCTAAATATACACAATTGTTTTGTTTCGTTTTGGTTTTTATTATTTCAACTTAGTAATGATCTCTGGAATAAGAAAGACACAATGCTAAAATTAGAATATTTATAACCTTGAACTTATTCAAATATGGAATGTAAATATGTTTAAACCAGTTATGCATTTATTAATGCTGATTGGCTAGACGGTTAGGAAAAAAGATGTTCACAATTCACACGTGGATTTATGCAGCTTCTAATTCAAGAAAAAGTTTATCCTAGTTAAAGGACGAGCTGAAAGACGTTTAACATCAGATTGTCATTTTCTCTGATGACAATGTAATAAATCAATAATGTAATAATGAAATAAATGCTCTAAGTACTTTCTACTGTTTCCTATCACTGGTCATTGTTTCTCTACACATTGGTTAATTTTGCCCAAAACAGTGCAATCAATCCATGCGTCACATTTAATAAAATGACAAAAGCATTTTGACCTTTTTAATTAAATCATTCAATTACGTTTTATTTACAATTCAAATCTCAAGTAAAACGTCACTTTCAAGACAAAATGAAAGAGAAACATAACAATGATGATGTTTACTATTGAGACAGATAATGTTTTTATCTACATTTTGAAGGACCCCAACGGAAATAAGCGTATATTGTTACGATTTTTGGGCTATCCTTGGATAGATTTGTTTAACATATATATCAGCTGTCTATATTGTGATTTTATGTTCCGGTGTTGCATGTTTTATTTATGTCAATTTTCCACCTTATGTACTTTGTAACATATATTATTATTTATCATGCTTTGTATACATTTGTGCAAATCTTTCCTGAATAAATTTATTATATTATTATTATTACATTCACGACTGAAAAGAACTTAATAAAATAAATGGCCGCTGATATGCCGATTTACTACAGAACACTATTATATAAATCAAAAGACGTCTGTACAAATATGTATCGTAGCACTCACCTCAAATATCTATTGGAGTAGCGTTTGTCTGTTTTTGTTATTTCATTTGCTTTTAAATTTCCCGCAAATATCACACAAAGTTACTCCCCTTCTCAGCGTTCTCTTTAGATAATCTATGAAACGCTTGAGAGTATGACCGTCAAATTAAAGGTATCAACAGACCCAGATTATTACGCACCTGCGCAGTGCTGTGCATACCAACACAGATGCTAGAAGTTTTGACGGCATATACGAGAAGCACATATTCGGCATCAAAATGGTATTGTTTATTCCAGACTAGTGTTTATCTTAACATTCTCCAATGAAATATAATTTCCATATTACCAAAATTTAACTCTGATATTATGATTGGTCACTGTTTGTTGTTTTAACAACATTAAGCGAAAAGGTTATCCGAGATGTAATAGGCTTAGACTTTCATTTGTTGATGACAGACTAGCAAAATATCGTGTCTTTTGTATGTGTGAAAATCACAAAATTATTAAGATCGAACAAAGTCATGCATCTAACCAAATGTACAGTTGATTGCTTAAACTCTTACTGGCCAATTACAATCGTTTAGTAACTTGAAATTGGTAATATAGACTGGGTGCCATTGTCGATGGCTACTGTATGTAGTTCACATTTTGGTCCTTTTTGAAATAGATGTTTTGTTTCGCAAATGAGGAAATAAGTAAAGAATATTTTGCTTTAACATTTAATAAACATTTTGGCATATCTGTATTCCCCAACTCGTTCTGTATACTACACGCCATTAACATTTCTATAAACATGTTTTGGCTGCTGCAACTCAGTGATGTTTGGGACTTAAATATTTGAGTTCTGGGCTCATGATTTTCATGTAAGACTCACTTGAATTTCAAGACTCACTTTATCTTTCTGTTAGAGAACTCTTCAAAAAATGTAGGAATGGTACTCTACCACCCAACAAAGAATAATTTATGAAATGAGAGCGCACATCAGGATTGGTTTTTGTCAGACTGATGTGGAAATGTGAAGTGTGTTTTTCCTTTTTTTTTTTTGTTACCATGATGAGAGTGCTTTTTTAGGAGTGAATCATCCAGTGTATTTTCTTGTGTGCCTTTTGTACTATCTTAGCTTTAGATAAAATTTTACGTATTTTATACATAGTGTATGCAACAGAAATGTTTTGCATTAGAAGTGTATAAACTTGTAAAACTTATCTTTATAATTTACCTTAACTTACCTGTGTGCTCCAAGCAAGACTTTGACGTCACCCTTCATATGTTGATAACTAGGAGGTCTTCAGAATGAATAATAAAAAATATGGCAAATATAAGCAAAGATACCTAAGGGAATGAAATTAATGTATGTTTTACAGAGATTGAAAGTTTCATCTTATTTCTTTTCATGTTTTTCAATTATTGGTTCCTGATAAAACTTGTTATCAGTTTCTTATAATAATTTGTCAGATGAATGAGGGAGAGTTGCATCTTTATCTAAATGCGAGTATAGTACAGTAAAAATAACTTTTGTAAATCAATATATATTACACCATTTTAACTTGAGGATCATTGACCAGTTGGAAGTACATGGAATTTCTCATGTCCTGTTTGTGGACTTGAGTTGAGTAGTGACTTTAGTTTGTGTTTATAAACATGATAGCAAACAATAAGTGTTTTTTTAATCAATCAAATAAAAATAAAACAGAACAAAATGTGACATGGAGACTAATTAATATAATATACTTTCAGATGCTCTCAAGGCAAAAGCCGGCCATTGGGCCTGGCTCAACTACACCAGCCAAAGAAAACAAGAAAAAGAAGAAGTTACCAAAGTTAGAGGACTTCTTAAGTTCAAGAGACTATACTGGAGCAATAACCTTATCAGAGGTAATAAAAACAATTTTTTGTGAAAAAAAAAATGGTTAAGTTAATGAGTTTATATCTTTTGATCAGTCAAATTTGCCTATTTGATGTAAAAATGTCTTTCACGAAAAACCAGTAGAAAACTCGAGTTTTGGATTCATTGCTTTTTTTCTCTTACAGTTCAGTAGAATCAGTGGAAAAGGAAATGAAGAAACAGATCTCTGGATTGCTTACTGTGCATTTCATTTGGGAGATTACAAACGTGCCATGGAGGTAAGCACCTTTCATCAGTTATATTATTAAATAAATGTTTTGGCTGGTTATAAGTTTGACTTGTCAAGAATTATTGTATTTATAACAACTTTTGATGTTTTTACTATTGATGTTTTTTTTTCCCTTTTTATACAACATCAGCATTTATGATATCTTGAAATGAACTAATTGAAGTACATTTGATTGTCAAATCAGCTGATCATAGACACTGCATATATATACATTATGTATATTTTCAAGAATTCATAGTTAGGAATAACACTACATATATATGGCTCCATTCCATACAGTTGTTGCTGTTTCATAGCGGTGCAGAATTTTCTGACAAAGAAAATTTATTCATGGAATGGTCTTAAGTCAATGTAAATTTAGAAGTCATTTGTCCAACCATACTGGAAAGTCCCTTGTTTATTTTAAGCTCATTAAAAACATATGATATCATATTTCAGGAGTATGAGAGAATGACAAAACGAGATGGCTGCCATCCTGATGTGTGGATAAATTTAGCTTGTTGTTATTTTTTCCTTGGGATGTACACAGAATCTGATAAGGCTGCCCAAAGAGGTAAGACAATATTTACTGTTATTATTGAAGCACTATTGTGCCTCCAAAAAATGAATTGCCTATCAATACAGTTATGCTAGGTAAAAAGATTTGTAAGAGTTGAGATCTCTTACAGTATACTAAACTTTTACATTGACAATAGCTGCTATCAATTATGCATACAAGTATCAGTATTAACCACTTCTGTGTGTCCAAAATCAGATATAAATATTGCTGAATTACATTATTTCAAAATATTTAGTTTTGTTCAAGATAGTTAAATATAAGCTAAACCAAAAAGTACTCCTGTCAAAGTAATTAAATAGGAACTGGACCTACATGATATGTTGATGTGCATATTGTACAATGCCCAAAAATATTATTGTTTGCCATTTAGAAACTGTAACAGTACATATGGTTTGCAAATGCATGATAAATGTCTGTTTTAGGATACCACTTGTCAGATATGTGAGCTTTTTGTCCTCCGGTTACTTTACATAACATACTTCTCCAGAATTTTTTCATAATTTTTTCCCCATTCATTTAAGTGTTAATGCCATTCTGATGAATTCAATATCGTATATATCCATATATATGTTTCGATTTTACAACCAAGAATGGATGCCAGGATGTAAAAAAAAATATTGATCATGGCACTTCAGGTCATAATTCAAGGTATACAATAGTGAATTTTTTGGCGAACATATTTATTTTTGGAGCTAAACCATTGGGGATATACATTGCATACAATGACCGCAATTAAAACTTTGTTTTACATAACAGCTTCATGTTTTCTGATTTACTAAATTTAACGAAAAGTGTATTATTACAGTTTAGATGTACGACATACTTTCGTTCATTTTCTGTTGGAGTGACAACATGTGTTAAGAGTGATATCACAACATGAAAAAACAATTTCAGGTCATAACCAACCAAATGGCTATGACTAGATTATAGTGTGGAACGTTGTATCTTAAAAGATTTTAAAGGGATATTTTGCACAAGTTGGCAAATTTCCTGCAGTTTTGCACATTTTAAGATTTTTAAAACTATTGTTAGTATCAAAATATCTTTCCTAGGTTCAATTTATTTAGACAGGCAGAATTGAAGGAAACGTCCCTTGCTAACATAAAATTAGACTGAGTAGATATATCACATTGTGGAATCTAGAATGCAGTCCTTGACTAGATGATAGATTTTATGCAAAGTATTGGTTAAATATGCAGGTCGATTCACTGTTCACTTATAATTTCTAATTGGATCAGAATTGCATTGCTTTTTTTGGCTTAATTCTTGTCAATTTTAAATAACACAAATATTTCACACTGTTTAGCTAATGAAAAAGAAACTAATGACTGAATCATTGGAAGTTTACGTTTGTAATTTGATCTAGTTATATCTATATGGAATTTCCACAAAATAAAATTTGTATGTTTAAACATTGTATAGTGAATTTAGGCTTACAATTTCTATAAAAATAAATCTTAACTTGTACTGAATTAACCTTCAACTGGGTTAAAATTATCTATTACAAGAAGCTAGTGCAGTTTGCAGCAATAAATAAGGTTCCAAAGATAAAATCTGATGCATGATCAATTTGGAATTTTGGAAATGATTGCAGTGAAATATCAATACAAATTAAGTCGATGAATACATTCAACATTCACATTGAAAAATGAAGAAAATTCAGCAACAATCAAAGCTTTTGTGGTTCAATCTTGCTGAAATGCTTTCAATATATATGTGACATTATTTTGTGTTTTGTTATAAGTAAACCAGTGAAAAAAACATAAAAATGAAGAAAAAAAATTGTTATTCCTGAATTTGAGCTGAATATTTCCAGGAAATATTTAACATGTATTAGCTTATAGAGCTCAAATTTGCTGTACTGTAATCTTTGTAAACTCTGTCTCTTGCTTTGTACACATGAGCAGCCAGTGACCTTGGTAATGTAAAGCTTTTCATTTGATCTTGCACTGGTTGTCCGTTTTTCTGTGGATTTGAAGCATTATATCAGTCATGCCATGCGATGCCTCTTTGTATATTTCACAAAGTGGCAAGCTAGAAGTTTCTTTATGATGTGCACCCTGAATTTTGCTTCTATTTTCAATGATGGCAGATATACAGTCAACAATAAGTCTACAATAAATATCAATATTGTTGTTTTGTAAATAAAGGTTGATAACAAATTATTCTATTAACTTTTTAATGTTGGAACTTGTTTTGACATTCTTTATTAAATCTCAATATCAGACATGAAATTTCAAATCCTTATCGTGTACAAGAAGGATACAGAAAGGATCCCACATGAGTTTCCATTTCATATTGGATTTGTTAAAAAGAGTCTAACAATCTTCATTTAACCTCACCAGAATGAATAATTTGTATTTTCAATATTTTTTTCTGCTATGAAATGGAAACAAAATTTTAATCACATGAACCAAACTTTGCAATCTTGGCTCTATATCTATTGTCTCCATTGTGACCTTATATCATATACTCTGTGTGTGTGATCATTTCATCATCATAAAGCTTTCACAATTGGTCGTTATAGTTCTTATGTAAAAAAAGATAAAATTGTGAAATTCACTGCAATCCTGATCACAATCATTCGTTAATTAAACATCACTCACACTCTACTTCCAGTATAGTTAGGATAATTTTTGTAAAAGTATCAACACTACATCATTTTGAAACCTAGGAATGTTGTTTTTTCCTTCTGAATTAAGTTGTGTCCCGCCCATTGCTGCTATGAAATGGATTATCATATAATGACCATAAATGAATTTATTATGAATAAATATTAAGACAAAAGAGAGTATTAACTGATATGTGTAGCATTGATTATTTTCATTAATTACCACTTATACAAGACTGTAGTATGATTGCAAAACTGACAAACAAGGGAGTAAAATGGTGAAATATAATTATTTATATCTAAGCCAGTGGGATGGCAATGTGAACAAGTATATTATTCGAGGTCACTTGCCTAGTATTTTAAAAAAAATTATGTGCCCCTAGTTGGTTGCTATGTTCTAGAAGAATATTTGGCTTTAAATCTTTTTCTATATCATGAAGATCTTAGAAATGTATGATTTTTGAACTCATTACATGTGAATTTCCATGTGAAGGACAGGATTCGTACTGTGAATCTCAATCAGGATATTAGTGAGTAGTATTAATAAATATCACTATTTTGAGTTAGTTCTAGACCCTAATGAACCATTAGAGACTAAACTGCGGTATTGTGAGTATTTTATATCCTGTGGAAATAGTTCATTTTGATTTACTGTTACAAGTTTGTTCTTAGTTTTTGTTATTTTCAATCATCATATTTCACTTGAACTAACAAAATCATTGTCTCTTATGATACTAATCACTCCAATATCTTAGGTAGAAAGTTGGCACAAGGTATCATGGGTGACAAATAAAAGAACACTTACTTATAGAATCTAGCTTATTTTTAATTCACGTAGCCGGTAGGATCATTTTATCCATAGATAGCTTGTTTGTAATGGCCAGCAAGAATGGTCTATTGACTGATTGATGAGATACAATACTGAGGATTCCAGGTAGTGACAAGGCTAACAATATGCAAGGGCATAAAATCTTCAGAATGTGTTGTCCACACAATGACAACACATTCCTTTATCAGGTCCAGTGGTGATGACTGAGAGATCTATATATATATATATATTTGCCATTAAATTGTATGTTATTTTCATTCCTGTTTGACTAAACCTTTTTTTTTTTGTTTGTTTTTGTGTAAATAATGATAAAATATGTCTGTTATGACGTGTGTTTCCTTTGGCTACCAATGCCATGGCAATGAATTATATGATAAATGTTATGGCTAGTCCAAGTTTCTTCTAGCCCCAACATAACACACATGGACATATGAATATTTGGTCACTCTGGTATGGAGCCAGACCTTATCGCTGTAGGAAATTGAGGAATTCTGTGACACGCACAGTTTATTGAAAAATCAAAAATTCACTAATTCAGAACCTCTCATTTGGTAACTAAGTAGAATTCCATTTTGTCATGGTCATTCAAAAATTTTCCAGTAAGCTTTGTCATTTCATATTTTTGACAGGAGTTGAAATATGTTGAAATTCAATCAGTGATGTGAAAATGATCTAGGTCTTCTTTAGAGCTTGTCTGGTTGATAGATGCTGTTATGTTGCCTTGTTATTTAGATTGCTGGGCGTTATTTACACGTTACTGTTACAACGCATGTAAATGTTAGTCTTATGTGATGAAGCCCTTTAGGTATTCCAAATTCACACGACCAAGGGACAAATATTTGTCAATCTATCAAATTTGTACTGCCAGGATACAGTGGAGTACACAAGTTTTGTCTGTTGGGCATTACTAACAAATCCATTATGACATCATTCATGTTATAAATGTCAATGTTATTTAGTAAGTTGCTGGTAGCAATATTTAAGCAAGTATAAAAGCTGTCATGCAATACTTCTTACATAAGAACTGTTAAACATTTTAACTTTGTTTTTGATATTTTTAATGTTTGAGATAGGAGCTATCTTGTTGGTTGTGATAATGAATTAAAAAAAAAGATCTAGTACAGAACAATAGTAATTCTACTCCTTTATTAGAGTGTATACACCTAGATAACCCCAGTGACTCGAGGAAGCTTAACTTGGAGGCACATTAAATGTGTTTTGATGGGAACAATATTCAAACGAATGGTTTTCCCACTTATACAAGTTTTATTTTTTGGGGAGTCTCTGGTAAGCTAAAATTGAAAATATTTGTTTCACTAGTCTTGTATGATATGGAAACTGATTCAGGATCATTTTTGCATTGTATCACATGGTCAACTTTTCTGCAAAAATCTGTCCCAAAATCTCTTTTCTATGTTATTCTTAAAGCCTTCTTGTCTCTATCTTATACTCATTTCCTCTGTGTGACATCTTAATGGAAAAACTATGACATGAGTGACGACACAGAATAACACTGGAATCGCATGATAGTATTAATTACTGGATGTAATTCAGAATTATCCAAGAAAGAAAATTCATTTCATTTATTGCCTTATGGTGTAGATAATGTTAAATACTTTTTTCATGTGGTTAAAACTTCATTCAGTTGTTTAAAAAATATATTCTCATGGACTCTTAATTTTGTGGATAGATGTTACTCAAGAAGACCACTGATACGTACTAGAATAATTCATGTCAAATTCTTAATAGTTGATTTATTTATGATTTTTAATTGATTTTTGGATTGATCCACAAAATCAATGATGAAAACACCATGAAAATGAATGATTTTACTGCTTGAAATTAATTAAGGTAATTAATTTTGCTTTGATCAAATCTGTAGCCCAAGTGTTTGCCCATGTTCATATCAACTCCATGTTTCAACACTATCTAGACATGATACAGTCAGTCTCCTTTCACACTCAGGACACCAGGACATGAAGCTACAGTGACATACAGAAGTTTTAAAGTGTTCTGAAAGAGATCTTAAATAAGACATCACTCTCAGTTAATCAAGAAAAAATGTGATTATTTTAAACTTAAGGTCGATGGTCTTTCTGAATACACGATATAACTACTTAACAAAACATTTTAAATACTGGTATTCTGTATATATATTGTATAGTCGTAATGAAAGGTACATCAATGATTTTAACTTATAAGGGTGCAAGATATAGATCATACATCAGCTTATATGTAGTTAATATGTTTTATTTCTACTATGTTTTTCTTTCAGGTTATTGTAGTTTTAAACTGGTACTGTTTACAGTAAACAGGTGCCCATGTGATGACTTTGAACAAGTTATAATTTTGAATATCTGAAGGATACAATATGTTCAAAAGTTTCAGAATATGAATAACAACTACAAGTATTGATGTTTCAGGTCCAAAAAGCCGACTCCAGAACCGACTGGGCTTTCATCTGTCTCATAAGTTTAATGAAGAGAAGCGACTGATGTCCTACCATCAGAATCTACAGGACATAGTAGAGGACCAGTTATCTCTGGCCTCTATACATTACCTCCGCAGTCATTACCAGGAAGCCATCGACATCTACAAAAGGATCCTCCTAGACAACAGGTCAGGCACTCAATACAAGTAACTTTGGGTATACTGCACTGTACATACAAGTAACACAGGGCATGCAGTGCTGGACATACAAGTAACACACAGCATGCAGTGCTGGACATACAAGTAACACACAGCATGCAGTGCTGGACATACAAGTAACACAGGGCATGCAGTGCTTGACATACAAGTAACACACAGCATGCAGTGCTGGACATACAAGTAACACACGGCATGCAGTGCTGGACATACAAGTAACATAGGGCATGCAGTGTTGGATGTACAAGTGACATAGGGCATACAGCACTGGATATTGTAACAAATAGCATAGGGCATATGGTACTTGACATATAAAAATAATAGCATAGGGCATACAGCACTAGACATACAAATATACATAACATATGGTATACAGCATTGGACATACAAATGGCATAGAGCATACAGTTCTGTTGGCATGAAGACACAGCACTGAACGTAAAAGGATAATGCTTACAGCACTGACAGCATGAAGTGCTTAGGGCTGGGCATACAAATAGCATTGGGCATACAGCACTGTATATACAGATAGCATAGGGATTACAGCACATAGCACAAAGCACACAGCTTTTGCCATACAAATAGTATTTATGGTGTACAGCAGTGGATGTAGCATAAGGTACATAGCACTTGACATACAGATAGTTTAGGTCGTACAGCACGGGACATACAAATGAGGGAATATTACACTAGCCCTCCAAATCTATATAGCATTGGGCGTATAACACATAGGCATACTCTGTATTGACTTCAAAGTATACTGCAACAGCACTTAATATATTTTGCATATGCTCCAGATCATAGAGCATACGTAACAGAATAGACTGTATGATTTACATAACGGAGCAAGGCATATATGTATATACAGCACAGGATACATACTTCACGAGGAATTAATCAGCATGAAATGAAAGGCATTATTTGATATTAATAAAGAAATCTATACATACATATTGTCATTTGAAGAATGTTGTGTTGTCTATTACAGAGATTACCTGGCTCTAAATGTGTATGTGGCTTTGTGCTACTACAAACTAGACTACTATGATGTCTCTCAGGTAAGTGAGATAAAAACAGTTAAAACAAGGGACAGGTTTTTTTCTCTCAATTTTTTTACTTCAGTATTCACTTAAAAACATGTTACACTCATAAAATGTCTGAATGTTTTTTGTGTTAACATTTTCTCAAATCCTGTGAACACAGATGAAATACGTTGATTCAAATTGTTCAAACTCAAGGAAATAGAAAATTTATAAATGTTATCCTGATAAACTTCTTATGTTATTATAAAAAGATAAAATAGTAACAGTATAACAAAATATGCAGATATACTAAATACGAGAAAACATTTGACACAACTTTCTTAATCTAACGCAGTTTGTACAATATTATCTAGTTATTTACATGGCTCATGCAGAATAGATATGACAAGATGGTATGGTCATGATCAGCCTGGAAACATGTAGAGCTAGCAGTTTCAATTAATTGTTAATTGAAGATTTTCTAATATGTATGGTGCTAATTATGATAGGTGAATGATACCTATTCATTTGCTTGCATTACAGGAGGTATTAGCAGTATACTTACAACAGTACCCTGACAGTGCTATAGCACTCAACCTCAAGGCCTGTAATCACTTCAGACTCTACAATGGAAAAGCTGCAGAGGTAGGTACCAATAAGACTCAACCTAAAGGCCTGTAATGAAAAGCATAGAAAACCTGCATAAGTAAGGTAGGACTCAACCTAGAGGCCTGTAATCACTTCAGACTCTACAATGGAAAAGCTGCAGAGGTAGGTACCAATAAGGCTCAACCTAAAGGCCTATAATGACCTTAGAATGTACCATAGAAAACCTGCATAAGTAAGTATCAGTAGGACTCAACCTAGAGGCCTATTATCACTTCAGACTCTACAATGGAAAAGCTGCAGAGGTAGGTACCAATAGGACTCAACCTAAAGGCCTGTAATGACCTTAGAATGTACCATAGAAAACCTGCATAAGTAAGTATCAGTAGGACTCAACCTAGAGGCCTGTAATCACTTCAGACTCTACAATGGAAAAGCTGCAGAGGTAGGTACCAATAAGGCTCCACCTAAAGGCCTATAATGACCTTAGAATGTACCATAGAAAACCTGCATAAGTAAGTATCAGTAGGACTCAACCTAGAGGCCTATTATCACTTCAGACTCTACAATGGAAAAGCTGCAGAGGTAGGTACCAATAAGACTCAACCTAAAGGCCTATAATGACCTTAGAATGTACCATAGAAAACCTGCATAAGTAAGTATCAGTAGGACTCAACCTAGAGGCCTATTATCACTTCAGACTCTACAATGGAAAAGCTGCAGAGGTAGGTGCCAATTAGACTCAACCTAAAGGCCTGTAATCACTTCAGACTCTACAGTGGAAAAGCTGCAGAGGTAGGTACCAATAGGACTCAACCTAAGGGCCTGTAATGACCTTGGACATGACAATGAAAAGGCTAAAGAAGTAGGTGATGATGTGAGTCACTCCTGGTATAACATTAACATGACTGGCATTTCTCTAATATCATTTTTTTTCCATTTGTATGATCTGTCTATGAAATCTCTATGTCCTTTTGTTGTTTTACATCCATATATGAAACCAGAAGCTGTTTAAATGATAAAACTAATTCCTGGTGTCCTTTTTATCACTCTGTTTTTTTTTTATTTATATCAATAATCATAGCCATGTCACATTGATGATACTTCTGAAACATATCACCACTTTTCATTTCACATCCTCATATATTTATATTGCCTAACAATACCATATTGTTGAATCATTGTTAGTTTCAATCCAAATTGCAGCCATTGTATCTTTGCTTTATATGATTAAGACATTTGTTACAATGTTAATACAATAACTTATCCTTGTCACCGTTCTGTATTGAGTAATCAATTTTGACATTTCCAGGCTGAGTTGAAGAGCTTACAAGAAATGTCTACGCCGTCATTTGTGTTCGCTCGAGATCTCATCAAACATAACATGGTAAGTGTAGTAGTTTGTGCGTCCATGTCATATTACAGTCATTTGTATGTCAAGGTAACATCAGGGTCATTTGTATGTCAAGGTCACATTATGGTCAGTTGTATGTCAGGGTAACATTAGGGTCACCTATGCCTCAAGGTAATATTAAAGTCATTTGTATGTCAGAGTAACACCAGGGTCATATATATTTGTCAAGGTATCATCAGGGTCAACTGTATGTCAAAAATAACATCAGGGTCACTTGTGTGTTAGGGTATCATAAGAGTCACTTTATTCTCATTAAATGGACTGCCTCATGATGCTACTACAGCACATTGTATAATTGCTGTTGATAATAAAATCAATAGTTAGAGTCATTAATTTTAAGACGAATATTTTATTAGTAATCTCGCATCTTTTAGTAACATTGAGCTAGAGAACACTGTGCACCTTATTTTTCCACAAAGGACAAGGTCACTAATCATTGTGTAGTGGTTGTCAGACTGAATAAGGATATATTGAAGTAATAAGGATTCTATCCTTTCACATGTAATTAAGAAAAATATACCCTGAACAATCTGAGTTAGGACAGAAACAGTCCAGTGTTTAGAATCAATATTAAAGATTACCTCAATGTGATTTCACTGTGGGGCCAGCTAAGGAGACAAATTGTCGCTGTCCACATTGCTCACTAGAGCAAGGCCTGTACATGTTTCCTGTATTCAATATTGATGTATGGGATACACAAATCTCACAGAGAAGAAACCATTTTACAGAATATTGCATGTGATACAAATATGATTTATGGCTTAGATATGGGTCTTGTATACATTGGTTTTGTTGTAATCTAGTTACCTTATTGGTAAGTAACAAGAGTAGATAGTAATTCTAGATAGGATTAAATGTATTGTAATGATGGGATATCATTGAGGATTATATTTGTCGTTTATAGGGTTATCTTTATCCTAATGAATTACATGAGTTTGGAAAAGAAAATAATCAATGTAACTATCAAAAACTGTAACGATATCATACATCTCGCATGTTCAGGGATGTTTCATTTTATTTGATTCCTGGCCAGCAGATTAATTAAAGCTTATTGAGATAGTGATGTTTTGAGATACTTTATTATGATTAACTGATCTGTTTAGTAACTACCATGCTTTCTATCTGAAGGTTGTATTTCGTGGAGGAGAAGGTTCCTTACAAGTGCTGCCCCCACTCATAGATGTTATCCCAGAGGCTCGACTCAACCTTGTCATATATCACCTCAAACAAGGTAACTAGTTGTGTCTATCTCCTCAAACAAGGTAACCAGTTGTGTCTATCTCCTCAAACAAAGCAACCAGTTGTGTCTATCTCCTCAAACAAGGTAACTAGTTGTGTCTATCTCCTCAAACAAAAGTAACCAGTTGTGTCTGTCTCCTCAAACAAAAGTAACCAGTTGTGTCTGTCTCCTCAAGCAAAGTAACCAGTTGTGTCTGTCTCCTCAAGCAAAGTAACCAGTTGTGTCTATCTCCTCAAACAAAGTAACCAGTTGTGTCTGTCACCTCAAACAAGGTAACCAGTTGTGTCTATCTCCTCAAACAAAAGTAACCAGTTGTGTCTGTCTCCTCAAGCAAAGTAACCAGTTGTGTCTATCTCCTCAAACAAAGTAACCAGTTGTGTCTGTCACCTCAAACAAGGTAACCAGTTGTGTCTATCTCCTCAAACAAAGTAACCAGTTGTGTCTGTCACCTCAAACAAGGTAACCAGTTGTGTCTATCTCCTCAAACAAAAGTAACCAGTTGTGTCTATCTCCTCAAACAAAAGTTACTAGTCGTGTCTGTCTCCTCAAACAAAAGTAACCAGTTGTTTCCTGTTACCTTAAACAGGGCAACCTGTTGTGTCTGTATGTAACTGGTACCCTGCATTTGTTTTGTTTTGCTGGTCTAATTTTTTCACTGTTGTTGTTGTTTGGGTAAGTTAACAAGTACGGATTTTCGTGTATACATTATATACATTGGTATCAATATATACAGGCCTGTAACATATATTATCTAAGATTTTGACTTGCTGTTAAAAAAGGATTGATAGATAATTTTGTGCTATTTTTGATGAATGAGAATATGGTGAAATTAAGTCCTCCACTAATTTCACAGGTATTTAGTATCAGATGGAGAACATAATACCAGTTGTGATATATGTATGTTGGTAAACAAAAGCTTATACAATTACTTTTTTAGATGATATTGCTGAAGCTTACAATTTGATCAAAGAACTTGAGCCGACAACTCCCCAGGAGTACATCCTGAAGGGTGTGGTGAATGCAGCCTTAGGACAGGAGCAGGGTTCGGTCAGTACCATCATCAGTACCAGCACTGACACCTGTCTTCATATGTTAATTGCTTTCTTTGTTATCCTGTACTGAATATTTTCATGAAGATTTTTAAGATATGAAGTTACATAAAGTCCTGGTCATAATAGATCATAATGAATACCAGATCATCGTGTTTTGATGTTTTATCTACAGTCATTAGCATATGATGAAGGAATTTCAAACCCTATGGTAACAATTCAATGTTTGTTACAGTTCCAACATTTTTTAGTTGGTGTTAGTTACGATTTTTTTTTTGTTAAACAAATTATCAGATTTTCAATTAAATTGTTGTCCTTGAAACAGGAGTTCTTTCCACTAACCATTAAATCGAAATACCATCAGTCTAGCAATACTGTTGTTGGTTAATTTATACTATTAAGTTCCTGGACAATTGTCCTTGATCTTTCCTTGATAAAAGTAATTGTGTGAGCAGTACTGTAAATACTGCCTTTGTCTGGAATTGGGGTATCAATAAGACAATATTAACCCAGGGATGAAACATTTGAAGACAATCATCCTAAGGGTAGAAATTACTCTCTCTACCTCAACTTCAGCCGAAAGTTCTTGCCAACCTTAAAAATCAAAGATTTTAATATTTCATTTGATTAAATAACTCTGAAAATTGGTGCTTTTTAGTGCAATTATAGCGCTATTATGACATCACAATGAAGATCCAACATCTACACATCTAATAGGTATGGCACTTCTATCGTCATGTCAGTTTAAAAGTTTTTGTAAGTTTTCAAAGTAAACCAACATAAGGAATGTCTGAGTACTGTTACAAATAACTTTAACTCCTAATACTACATGTCACCTAAGTTATACCTACATGTACCCCCACCCACAGTAACACAGGGCATTGTATAGTGTTGGTTTCGATAAATTTTCTCTGATGCGTTAAAACATGTCAGTTCAGTGATGGTCAGGATATCTCTAAATATAATGATCTCTTTTGGGTTAGAAGGAGCACTTGAAGATTGCCCAGCAGTACTTTCAACTAGTCGGAGGATCAGCCAGTGAATGTGGTAAGTATCTTCTACATACACAATGTCATAGTTCTGGCCAAAGTGTGACTGTATTGATAACTATATGAAATAATTTACTACAGTTGAAGTTTCGTATTTAGGTTCATGTTATACTGTTCATTTCATTTTATAGTGATCAGGAGATGTTAAAAATTCTGTTACATATACAATGTACCTATTTGTTACAGACACTATTCCTGGCAGACAGTGTATGGCATCCTGTTTCTTTTTACTTCGACAGTTTGAAGATGTCTTGATTTATCTCAACTCTGTCAAGGTGAGATCATCACTAATCCTTAGACTACAATGTCTAGAGTACAGTCTGTCCCTTAATTAGGTCTGTTGCAAGTTCTGTTCCCTAAACAAGATTTATAACAACATCTGTCCAGTAACAAGATCTATAACAAAATCTTTCTCTTAACTTCAGGTTTTTAGCGAAGTCTATGGCTTAACTAGGTCTATAGCACGATCTTTCTCTTAACTTTAGGTTTTTAGCGAAGTCTATGGCTTAACTAGGTCTATAGCACGATCTTTCTCTTAACTTTAGGTTTTTAGCGAAGTCTATGCCTTAACTAGGTCAATAGCAAGATCTTTCTCTCAACTTCAGGTTTTTAGCGAAGTCTATGCCTTAACTAGGTCTATAGCAATATCAATCCCATAATCATATGCAAAAGATACCGGATTTTGAAACTATTTAGAAAATGAACAGAAAATTGATGATATACTCACCTTGCAACTTTTTAGATAATATGTATTCTCTTAATTTTCCAGAGCTATTTTTACAACGATGATCTGTTTAACTTTAACTACGCTCAGGCAAAAGCTGCAGTAGGGAACTACAAGGAGGCAGAGGAGGTTTGTGTTATGTAGGGACAAAGTTTGTCAACATTAGTGACTTACTTTGATATACCAGGGTTACTGTCAATAATGGTCATTGAAGTTAGGGCATGGTATGTTTTAAATCTTTACGCTTTGTAAAACTGGAATCTCTAGAGCCTGAGATTTTGTTTTTGATAGTACTTTTTGTTGTGTGAGGTGTCACTGTTGACAGATAGTACTTTTATTGTGTGAGGTGTCACTATTGACAGATAGTACTTTTATTGTGTGAGGTGTCACTATTGATAATAGTACTTTGTATTGCATCAGGTGTTCCTGTTGATACAGATGGAGAAGATTAAAAATGATTACACCTATCTCAGCTGGCTGGCTAGATGTTGTAAGTATCACTTCTGTTATCTATTCTGTATAGCTAAAACATTGATATTGATGAAACACTTGGTTATCTATAATATGCTATTGGTTTAAATGGAAAACACTGCTTCATTGGTCACCTTGACAATTTATTTGTTGTCAGAATTGATTGAAATGGCCTTATAACATAATGATCTGGTACATGTGGTTGGTTACAGATATCATGAACAGAAAGGCTCGCCTGGCATGGGAGTTATACCTTAAGATGGAGACATCAGGAGAGTCATTTAGTCTGCTTCAACTCATTGCTAATGACTGCTATAAGGTCAGTAAAGAAATTATATGCTTATAAAAGCAGTATCATTCAGGATTTTTAATTTCTTTTTTAGATTTCTATAGATTATTCCTATTCCACACTAAATGGTAAATACTCTTATATCTCTTAATGTGTATTTGACAGATTTTTTTTTTTACTTGTTTTATAAGTCTTATTATTAGTGTAAAATCATACAGATGATGTTTTTTACTTGAGTTGTCATCGGTTCTTGAATCTCATATGTTCTGTCAGTGTCCATATAGAATTACCTTTAACTACATATTACAGATGGGTCAGTTTTACTATGCTGCCAAATCCTTTGATGTACTGGAGCGACTTGACCCCAACCCTGAATACTGGGAGGGCAAGCGAGGAGCTTGTGTGGGCGTATTCCAACTCATCATTGCTGGACATGAACCAAGGTCAGTACAAAACAGTGATCTGTCTTTCTCTAGAATTCTGTATAAACCAAGGTCAGTACACACAACAGTGATCTGTCTTTCTCTGGAATTCTGTTTAAACCAAGGTCAGTACACACAATAGTGATCTGACTTTCTCTAGAATTCTGTATAAACCAAGGTCAGTACACACAACAGTGATCTGTCTTTCCCAATATTTCTGTATAAACCAAGGTCAGTATACACAACAGTGATATGTCTTTTCCAATATTTCTGTATAAACCAAGGTCAGTATTCACAACAGTGATCTGTCTTTCCCTAGAATTCTGTATAAACCAAGGTCAGTATACACAACAGTGATCTGTCTTTCCCTAGAATTCTGTATAAACCAAGGTCAGTATACACAACAGTGATATGTCTTTCCCAATATTTCTGTATAAACCAAGGTCAGTATTCACAACAGTGATCTGTCTTTCCCTAGAATTCTGTATAAACCAAGGTCAGTATACACAACAGTGATCTATCTTTCCCTAGAATTCTGTATAAACCAAGGTCAGTATACACAACAGTGATCTGTCTTTCCCTAGAATTATGTATAAACCAAGGTCAGTATACACAACAGTGATCTGTCTTTCCCTAGAATTATGTATAAACCAAGGTCAGTACACACAACAGTGATCTGTCTTTCCCTAGAATTATGTATAAACCAAGGTCAGTATACACAACAGTGATCTGTCTTTCCCTAGAATTATGTATAAACCAAGGTCAGTATACACAACAGTGATCTGTCTTTCCCTAGAATTATGTATAAACCAAGGTCAGTATACACAACAGTGATCTGTCTTTCCCTAGAATTATGTATAAACCAAGATTAGTTCACAACAGTGATCTCTCATTCCAAAGAATTATAATTTCCACAATGTAGTGAGTAGGTGTATCAGGGTGAATAGTAACTTATGAGTATGGCCCTCTAATGAAGACTATTGGGCCAATCAGTTTATAAAGCTTGCTGTTTTGGATGACCAGAGAAAAAATAATAGCTCAGTGCATTTCTGACCAGGGCTTATTTACTTTACAATTGTTTTTTAATGAAGTAAATATACTATTTTTCTTGCAAATTTAAATTTCTTCATCTTGATCTAAAACTGATTTCATTTGATAAATTTTCCTGTATTTTGGCTTTTGTAAACTTCTCAAGCTGTACAGGAGGCAGCATTAGATAATATCAACAGTCAGTTTAGTCTAATAGGTACTTGTTGATAGTTGTCTGAAATTAGAGAGGAGGATACTAGATTTATAATGAATCGTGTAATACATTCTGGTATCAAGGATTGGAAGTTGTTTTGTCAATAGTTTTTGTTTACTTTGTCATCATTGATTCTTTCATGTTAAGTGATTCAATAATTTGTCTGCATATAACCAATACCACACAACATGCTCTCATTTTTCAAGTTGGTTGATAAAAAGATCAGTTTAAAGCAGATCCAGTAGTTGCTTTCATGAATTTTAAGAATGCTATATCCTTTCCCTTTTATTGTCCTTTATTTAAAAACAGTATGATTTAGACTTCAAGGTATCTGTTTACAGTTATTTACACTACTTAGCTTTCTAGAGAAAGTAACATTTATACCTTGCTGTTTTATTTGTGCAGAGAGCTACTTCGGGAAGTGGTTCAACTACTTCGTAACACTAGTAACCCACAAGTGGAATACATCACTCGCACCATGAAAAAATGGGGCAAAGAGAACAAAGTGTCTTGGTAGCCTGGCATCTTGTTTCCTTATACAACATGTAAATCCTGTACATACCTTCACTAAAACTGCATGTTCATTTAGATAGTTCTTTTAGGATCAAGATGACACATATTCTCTGATAATTTACAATAATGTTAATGAGAACAAAAGCCCTTATCTGATTTTTCTTTGATCAAACTTTTGCAAGGATGACATGACCCCTGTCTTTATTCTGTGCATGCATGATCACTTCCTCTTAATCCTGCTCTTGGTACATAGTATTACCAAAGACCTTATTATAGTTGTTACAGTATGATAACAGTGTTCTACACTTGAGATTCCTAGATTTAGAGAGCCGAATGTAGTAGTTCACAAGCCCTATCACAAGTATTAATGGCACACCACGTTTATACAATGGTATAACAAGTACTTCTGGTTACCGAATGCCTTTAGACTATTGTTTAATACCAGTCTCGTTCATCAGACGCAGGTTAATGCCTTCAGCTGTTAGAATTTCTTTTTGACAATACTGTATGTGTGAGCTGAATTAGAGGTTTTTGGTCAATGAAAGTAATTATTGTAAGCAATTTTTTTACCTCTGTATTCAAAATGCTTAAGATTTAAATCAAAGAGAGATAGATCAGTTAGGTAATCAACCTGTACAGCTTACTATACATAAATATTCTTGATGATGTGTGCATGAATACTGGTAGATTAGTATGATCATCTAGTCAGCTCCATTCTTTCTCAGCAAACTTGCTAGCGTGACACATCAGTGTTGTACAGACCTGTTTGTGCCTTTTTAACTATTCACTCAGTGTGATTGTCCAAATAAGAACGAAATATACCACATTTTTGCAAACACAGGACCATTAGCATTGTCTCAAGGTCACAAGTTAAATTACAGGGTCTAGAACTGGTAAATATATCTTCAGGCTTATTGTAAAGCAATGTCTTTTAGTTCTCAAAACAAACTAAAATGCAGGCTCTGAGGCTGATGTAAGGCACTGGCATATAATCACATTGTATCAAGGACCCAAACTTAACTACAGGATCTAGTGCTGTATCCAGGTCTCAAACTTAACTACAGGATCTAGCACTGTATCCAGGTCCCAAACTTAACTACAGGATCTAATGCTGTATCTAGGTCCCAAACTTAACTACAGGATCTAGTACTGTATCCAGGTCCCAAACTTAACTACAAGATCTAGTACTGTATCCAGGTCCCAAACTTAACTACAGGATCTAATGCTGTATCCAGGTCCCAAACTTAAATACAGGATCTAATGCTGTATCCAGGTCCGAAACTTAACTACAGAATCTAGTACTGTATCCAGGTCCCAAACTTAACTGCAGGATCTTTTGCTGTATCTAGGTTCCAAACTTAACTACAGGATCTAGTACTGTATCCAGATCCCAAACTTAACTACAGGGTCTGATGTTGTATCCAGGTCCCAAACTTAACTACAGGACATAATGCTGTATCTAGGTCCTGAACGTAACTACGGGATCTAGTACTGTATCCAGGTCCCAAACTTAACTACAGGATATAATGCTTTAACCAGGTCCCAAACTTAACTACAGGATCTAGTGCTGTATCCAGGTCAAAATATTAACTATGGGATCTAATGCTGTATCCAGGTCCCAAACTTTACAGGATCTAATGCTGTATCCAGGTCCCAACCTTAACTACTCTATCTAGTGCTGAGTACAGGTCCAAAAATTAACTACAGGATCTAGTACTGTTACCAGGTCAAAATATTAACTACAGGATCTAGCACTGTATCCAGGTCCCAAACTTAACTACAGGATCTAATGCTGTATCTAGGTCCCAAACTTAACTACAGGATCTAGTACTGTATCCAGGTCCCAAACTTAACTACAGGATCTGGTGCTGTATCCAGGTCCCAAACTTAACTACAGGATCTAATGCTGTATCTAGGTCCCAAACTTAACTACAGGATCTAGTACTGTATCCAGGTCCCAAACTTAACTACAGGATCTGGTGCTGTATCCAGGTCCCAAACTTAACTACAGGATCTAATGCTGTATCCAGGTCCCAAACTTAACTACAGGATCTAGTACTGTATCCAGGTCCCAAACTTAACTACAGGATCTAATGCTGTATCTAGGTCCCAAACTTAACTACAGGATCTAATGCTGTATCTAGGTCCCAAACTTAACTACAGGATCTAGTATTGTATCCAGGTCCCAAACTTAACTACAGGATCTAGTACTGTATCCAGGTCCCAAACTTAACTACAGGATCTAGTACTGTATCCAGGTCCCAAACTTAACTACAGGATCTAATGCTGTATCCAATCCAAACCTTGATATAAATTTAGTACAATATCCTTATCCCAAAACTAGACTACAAGATCAAGTGCTGACATTTTTTTTTGTTTTTGAAATTCTTAAAATAAAATCATGCTTAATCTAAATGATTAGAGCATGGTTCTTCTACACAAGTGTTGTCTTTGTCTGAGATTTTAATTGACTAAACTTCTCTAATGATATTGATCTCTGACTAGAATAGTCCATTCAGCTTTGTGGTCACATTAGGCCGAGATGTATCGTTTGAAAGGTTCGTCTGACATCACATTTTCTTGAGAGTAAATGGAAATGTATCATACAGAGTTGATATCCCCCTCCAGGTCTATATAAACTGATAAAATATCGTGTTTAACATCAGTTTTATAATTATGCACACAAGGATTAAATTTTACATAGAAAGTGACGTTATGTATTTATCTAGGATTTTATATCAGCTTTATTAATTAATTTTAGGTTATGACTTCAAATATGTAAGTTTTAGATATTCATTTGATAACTTCACTCATTAAAGTCATCATTTGATAAACAGATTCAGATGCTGATAGGAAGAACTAATGTCTACATTAGGTCTGGTATATTGTACTGTTTATTACATAGGCTGTTCAATGGTCCCATTTTATTTCCTCCGGGTAAACAGATATATAGATATTAATTTTTGTATATACGTGGTAGGATGCATGTCTATCAGAATAGTCATTTGTAAATATTTAAAATTCTACAACCAATGCATGAACATAATCTCATTATAGCTTATGTATGTAATTCTCACCTTGCAGCATGCTTACTATAGCTGTAAGATCTGCCCTAACGGCACGCTGATCAATATTGTTTGTTTTGTTTCATTTTTCACCATAGAAACATCATTGCTTCATTTTTCTTTTAAGTAAGGAAATCGTTTGATCTATAGTCATTTGTAAGTATAGGGAAAGCTTAGTATCTAGATATATGTTGGGGAGGGGTCAAAAAGAGATATATTTTGTGAGTATAGGGGAGAGGGGGAGTGGCTTAAATAGAATAAGATAAACAAATTGAATCAGATTTGATACTATGACATACCACTCAAATATATCATAAGATATAACATATCATTGATATTGTGCATTATAGCTGTTATATGATGTGAAGGTTTATATTTATATGTCTTCAGTCAGTGTCAGTGTGTCGTAAACTTAGATCAGTCTGCTGAAATTTAAAAACCACATATTCAATAACAAACCTCAATGTAGATTCCATAATGGTCTATGATATATCATATGATTGCTGCCTTCTGTTTAGTTTGTTTTGGGAGGTTTTGGATTGATGCAGTGATTTTAACCATTTATAATCAAAGAGACAACGATCATATCCACCACCAGCGATCTGGAAGTCATGTTACCCCAAACAATGGCTACCTTATATAAAAAGATTTGAAAATTTCTGATGTTTGGTTGTGTTTGTTATGCGCTTGTCTGATATAGCCTTGTCTGCCTCTACAGAGACACACTGAGGGACGTCATCAACATGCTGAGGAATTCCAGCAACCCTCAGGTGGAATACATGGTCAGGACCATGAAAAAGTGGGCCAAGGAAAACCTAGTAGCCATTCCATAGGATCTCACAGGACATAAATACAGACAATATAGAATGGTTTACATCTGTTATAGTCATAATACAACTCTCATCTACTTTGGATACATTCAGTCTAGGCTTTTGATGCTAATAAGTCTACAGTTAAAATTACATCTTGAGGTCTGTTATTGGTTGGACAGAAACTATTACTGTATCACTGTAGGCAGCCAGCCTGTACTGTGGATCCTGTCATCTCTTCCTCCAGAAATAAGCATGTGCATGTTGAATGCCTTTCTCTGTTATCTCACTTGTTGTTTTGCATGTCTTTTATATGAAAAACCGCCAGTAAATGGCATTGGCATAAAGAGTTCTGATGTCATTGATAGAATGAGTTTTTTAAGATAAGAAATATTAAACAAGTATTGCAATACTGTTTTGGATATAGGTCGAATATTTGTTTTTTTTTGTAATAATTTAAATATTTTGTTTATTACAAAGACTTTCAACTTTAAGACATATTTAGTATTTATTTGAATCTCTTTTGAAAAGCAAGAATGAGTACTTTAGAGCGAATATGAAACATTACTGAAGACCTAGACATGCATTACACTGTAAGATCATTTTTATAATGTCTGCTGTAATATTTCTTACTGAAGGATGTATTTCTGACACCATTCTGCACTTAGAACCGAGTTTAAGTGTCTAGTAAATTATTTAAAGTTTCAGTTTAGCTTAAGGATACTCAAAGTGTGTGATATTGGGGACAAGATGTCTTTATACATATTGTTCACTATGATTAGTTTTCCTTAATCTATCAATATCACAATGATTTTGTCAGAGTAGTTATATTGTGTTTTTATTGATGTGAATGTTAACAAATCCGTCCAATCTTAACAAACATTTTTCAGAAAATAAAGAAAGCAACATTCCATGTAAATATCAATAATTTATGATATGAACGTATGTGCTATATATGCATGTGTCAGAATATTTTTAAGAATAAAATATTTGATGTTTCATTTTGTGTTCTGTATCACTGTTTAAAGTTTAATGCTGTGACACAAAATGTTTGGTCACATTCACAAATGCTGCAACTGCAACTAATGCTGTGACACAGACTGGTGGTCACTGTCAGTATATAATGCCATGACTGACCATCAATGCTGTGACACAGACTGGTGGTTACTGTCAGTATATAATGCCATGACTGACCACCAATGCTGTGACAGACTGGTGGTCACTGTTGGTATATAATGCCATGACTGACCACCAATGCTGTGACCAGACTGGTGGTCACTGTTGGTATATAATGCCATGACTGACCACCAATGCTGTGACAGACTGGTGGTCACTGTTGGTATATAATGCCATGACTGACCATCAATGTTGTGACAGACTGGTGGTCATATATATATATAGTTGAAAAAAATCATCAAATCAACACGACAAATGTATTCCGCTATATATATATATATATGTATAACATATAATGCCATGACTGACCACCAATGCTGTGACAGACTGGTGGTCATATATATATATATGTATAACATATAATGCCATGACTGACCATCAATGTTGTGACAGACTGGTGGTCATATATATATATAGTTGAAAAAAATCATCAAATCAACACGACAAATGTATTCCGCTATATATATATATATATGTATAACATATAATGCCATGACTGACCACCAATGCTGTGACACAGACTGGTGGTCACTGTCAGTATATAATGCCATGACTGACCACCAATGCTGTGACAGACTGGTGGTCATATATATATATATGTATAACATATAATGCCATGACAGATTTTTCTTTCATTCTTAATCTTACCAAATTAAACATTTCTTTTGAAAATGATCTCTTTCAGTCTGTATGACATTTCTATTATTTGCTTAAGTTATGTAAAAATGGATGTGATTAATGTAGGAATATTTTGTTAAATCAGTATTTAATAATACATGTATATCACAACTCATAAAGTCGAGGAAATACCATTATTTGCACAAAACATTTTTATTCACTCAACAAATTAGATAAAACTCTCCTTGGAAAGCACATAATCAGAAGAGAATATCCTGCAGAAGAAAGACAAGAGTACCAGATTGATGTTGGGTAATTCAGGTATAAGTGATAAATAGAATGGTCTCCAAATTGTCAGTAATATCCCTTAACCCTAACATTACAGCCATGTCTATACAGTCTTTTGGTTTACTTCACTATTACTGTAGAAATGATTCATTTTTGTGGTAATTTTATTTCCTTAAATTTTTATGGTACTTCTAATCCATAAATTCATATACCGAGTATTCATGAAATGATGAAAAGTTAATGATATAATTCTAATTTCATTTTTATAAATAACTTTAACAATGGTAGATTTCATGAGCAAGATTTATCCATGAAATCAGGTGGAAAAATCTTGCTCGTGAAATCAAATGCCTAAAAATATGCATTTTTTTGTAAAATTATGGAATTTGAGCCCAAAAAGATACATATGATTTAACAATAACTGGAAACCTTAAGTGTTGAATCTGGTACCAGAAGGTTGTATTCTATTTTAATATGTATAATTTCTATCTGAAATGGAAAGGGTTTCATTCCATTTAACAGTTTAAATTATGGGGTATCATGTACAGTATATACTTACAAAAATACTCACACCATTAAATAATGTATTTACAATTATATCAAATATACACTAATGGAATACAGAAATATATATATATATATATATAAGTAAAGGAATCTTACATTCAATATTGAAAGCAGACATGACAACATTAAAACCTGAAATAAATCAAACTGAATGTGGGTACATGTACATACATCATATACCACAATAACAAGTCGAACTCTACACAAAAACATGTAAATACTGTTACAGTCATTAGCAGAAAGAGAGATAGAGAGAAGAGAAGTTACCATACCAAAACCATGTAAATTCTGATACAGTCATTAGCAGAAAGAGAGAGAGAGAGAAGAGAAGTTACCATACCAAAACCATGTAAATTCTGACACAGTCATTAGCAGAAAGAGAGAGAGAGAGAAGAGAAGTTACCATACCAAAACCATGTAAATTCTGATACAGTCACTGGCAGAAAAAGAGAGAGAGAGAGAAGAGAAGTTACCATACCAAAACCATGTAAATTCTGATACAGTCATTAGCAGAAAAAGAGAGAGAGAGAGAGAGAAGTTACCATACCAAAACCATGTAAATTCTGATACAGTCATTAGCAGAAAAAGAGAGAGAGAGAGAAGAGAAATTACCATACCAAAACCATGTAAATTCTGATACAGTCATCAGCAGAAAAAGAGAGAGAGAGAGAGAAGAGAAGGATACCATACCAAAACAATGTAAATTCTGATACAGTCATTAGCAGAAAGAGAGAGAGAGAAGTTACCATACCAAAACCATGTAAATTCTGATACAGTCATCAGCAGAAAAAAAGAGAGAGAGAGAGAGAGAGAAGAGAAGTTACCATACCAAAACCATGTAAATTCTGATACAGTCATTAGCAGAAAGAGAGAGAGAGAAGTTACCATACCAAAACCTTGTAAATTCTGATACAGTCATTAGCAGAAAAAGAGAGAGAAGTTACCACACCAAAAACATGTAAATACTGGAGTGAACAAAGAAACAGGCAAAGCTACTATACCAAAAGCTGGTAAATATCCTAGTGTACAAAGAGAGGAATTTTCAACAAAAAGGGGATTGACAATAACAATATCTTTGTTCAATTCCATGCATTATCAAAATCAAAAATATATATATATATAAATTACTGGAGAACCTACTCATTGTATCCAATGTTATTAAATATACAACCTGATCTCATCTATACACATAAAAGGATTATAATTATAGGTAAAAAAAAACCAGCAGGTAGGGTGATGATAAACCCCATCTGGTCAATTAAAGTGATTTCATTGGGACTGAAAATATCAATAACCTGGTACTGTTAACACATATATACATAAAAACAAAACAACACATGACTATACAAAAATTCATTAACAGAGTATTGTTCACATTTACTACAGCTTTCATCTCCGGTCAATCTATTTTGATTTTCTTTAGAAACAAACAATACATCATTATAGGCAAAAAATCAATCAGTATTATATCACAATGCCATATTGATGTGGATGTAGACATGTCAGGAACAAGAGCAATTATATCTGGTCATTACAACCAACTGGTAATACAGACTTGATTTATCACACAGCCATCTAATGTTATCACATTTCATACCTAACAGTCTATTGCTAGTTATATGTTATATTCATGAATCCTATTTCAACATCTGACTTTAGATATCAGTAATCAGTACTTATATCAACACAATCAGTTTAGAATATTGGAATATATTTTTTATTGCAATTTTACTTGTGTTTGATTTTCAAAATTTCAATTCAAATAGTTCCATGCTTAAATAATGTAGAGCCACTCCAGTGCAATTATCCACGAAACACCTCTATTGAAACAACCTTTTGTTCTATACCATATATATATCTCATTGCAATAGTCCCTAATGGATATTAGAACCGGCGTGACAGAATAATTTTCTTGTTCCTGAAAGTCTTTGAGTAGACGACGAATAATGTTTAGTCGCATTAAGAGACTCCAGCTTCCTGTGTCCACCGCTTCCTCGTCAATTTTTTTTCGGAATCCCTCTGTTGTTTTCATTTACCTAAAACAGATGACACGAAGAGTCCATGATATAACATACGTCCAAGCCTGTACGGACAACAACCAGACTAATCTGTTTCACAATTTGGGAAACATGAGCGCCTAATGGGACAGATATATGGTAATATCACTTTAAATACCCAGGCAAACTATCGTTTTTTCAGGATAACGAGATATTGGTGAACAATCCATAGATCAAATTGATTGTCTGATTTTAGAAACAAGAAGACAGGAGCTTTGCTCACTGAATATGCCCACAGTCCATCACAGTCATTATCTGGAATACAGCGTGACACATAACTTTCTCGTCTTGTTT